TTTTTTAAGATGACAATGATCCAAAACATTCAAAATTTGTTGTAATGTAATTTAATAATTTCTTCGAAAGTTTATCTGTACAACCATTTGTCTTCTCAAAAAGTATTATCACATTTTCTTACCGATTCTTATTTTTTCTTATTATTTACTGCATGTATTTGTACACATTTAATAGACCTTTTTTTTTGCATATATAGGTAAAATTTTGCTTAAAAAAAAATAATGTATATGAGAAATAACACTTCAAATATTGTAATAATAAAATATTTATTTTCTAAGATGTGATTTAGATAGTAATTAAAGACAAAAGTTTTCTATAAATCGCTCTGTGGCAGTTTGAAGGCAATGCTGCTGATTACGAATATCATATCGTCGCTTCCGAATAAAAGGGCGTTAACTTGGAAGCCGGTTGAAAAAGGCGTTAACTCGGAAGCCGGTTGGAAAAGACGTTAACTCGGAAGCCGGTTGGAAAGGGCGTTAACTCGAAAGCCGATTGAAAAAGGCTTTAACTCGGAAGCCGGTTGAATAAGGCGTTAATTCGCGCGCTCTAATTTTTTGCGTCAATTTAAGTTGGCAGTACTGCTGAAATAATGTTGGTGTTTGAATTTCATGATTTTTATTTTAAATTGATGGAATAAATTTTTTTCATGCAAATATGGTTTAAGTTTTGCATTATTAAAAGACAATATTTTCTTTTCGTTAATTTTATATGTTTATGTTCTGTTAATAATTATATTATAGTAAATAAAAATACATATGTATATATATACAAATATGCATTGTATATAATTTATTTCATTCTAATAGAGAGAGGGAGGGAGAGAGAGAGAGAGAGAGAGAGCAAGTATGGGTCATTCATGACCCACCATGTTTTTTACAATACTCGATAGATATTTATTAACTTTTAATTCATAAAAATTAGTAAATTAAAAATGGAACCATATTTATAGAGCAATGTAAAAACATGAAAAATTTCTCATTGTAAAATTTTTATAAAGACTGAATTTGTATTATTTATAATAATTCATGTTATTAAATATATCATTCCATCGATAGATTAAAATGTTATGCTTTTTTGTATAATAGTTTTTTCTTTATGGAAAAGCATAATATTATTTAGAATACAAGATTTTTGACATCAAATTCGTAATCAGCACCCTTGACAACCTATATGCGCATATGCTAATAATTTTTCGTTTCAATATGATTTATGTTATAAATAATATAAATCAAGCACCAACATTATTTCAGCAGTACTGCCAACTTAAATTGACGCGAAAAATTAGAGCGCGCGAGTTAACGCCTTATTCAACCGGCTTCCGAGTTAATGCCTTTTTCAATCGGCTTTCGAGTTAACGCCCTTTCCAACCGGCTTCCGAGATAACGCCTTTTCCAACCGGCTTCCGAGATAACGCCTTTTTCAATCGGCTTCCGAGCTAACGCCTTTTCCAACCGACTTCCGAGTTAATGCCCTTTCCAACCGGCTTCCGAGTTAACGCCTTTTCCAACCGGCTTCCCAGTTAACGTCTTTTCCAACCGGCTTCCGAGTTAACGCCTTTTTCAACCGGCTTCCAAGTTAACGCCCTTTTATTCGGAAGCGACGATATGTAGTTAAAGTGCGATTTTCTCATTATTTTGGCCGTAAAGGTCTATCCAGACAAACTTGCATAAGTGCATAACCATATGCATAAAGAAACTGATTGGTCTATTTCCTTATGCACATGCACATGGACTAATCAATTCTCTTATGCTTATGTTTATGGGCTTATGCAAGTTGTGTGGATATAGCTTAATACGGATTTTACGATTCTAGTAATAAATGACTCCTGTCAACCTTTAACATGTTTTAAAAAATAAATAGATAAATGCATGTGTATAAATCAATACAATTAAATTTGTAACATATGTGTAGGTTATATTAAGGAGGTTCGATGGCTACAACAAAATGCAGAGAGTTTCATAAAATTTTAATATGTTGTTCTGGAATGCAAAATAGAATTATGTGAATTTATTAGGAATTTTTCACCGTCCCGTTTTGAAAAAAATCTACTCCAAAAATTTAAAAAGTACAATTTTTGGATTAGATTTTTTTCAAAACGGGACGGTAAAAAATTCCCCAAAAATTCACATAATTCTATTTTGCATTCCAGAACAACATATTAAAATTTCATTTTTAACATAGGTTTTTATGGGAAATGACATATTGCATATACCTTCAGAATGAAATAAGTGCAAGAAAAAATGCAAATGATAAAGAAAAAGAAATTTGCACATGTAACTTAATAATTTACAAATAAATGAGCGAAAGAAAGGGGAAGGTTACCGCACATTTCGTAGAAAAATTAATTATTAAAGCATAAATTGCTTGATTTTTCGTCTGCTAGACTGTCATGGTCGTGAACGACGTGAACAGCAGCACGCATTATACACGCGGCGACCAATCAGAGCAATCCCCTTCATTCCCACTACTTCAAACGCTAGTGCGCTGTTTCCAGAACCCCCGCGTCCCACTACTCCCTCCGATGAAGCCATCGAACCTCCTTAATCTATCTTCTATTATTGCAGTATTAAAATGCCTTATTGTGCAGCCAAAAATTGCAAAAATACATCCACACAGAACATTAAAGGTCAATCCAGACAAACTTGCATAGCGCATAAACATAAGCATAAGAGAATTGATTGGTCCATATGCATGTGCATAAGGAAATAGACCAATCCGTTTCTTGATGCATATGGTTATGCTCCGATGCAAGTTTGTCTGGTACATACAAGACGGTCTTGTGCTAGGTCTACAATGCGAGTCGTAAAGTCGTGAGTCGTAAGAATTGACCAATCACAATCGATTATTCTCCTCAAATTCGATTGTGATTGGTCAATTCTTACGACTTACGACTTTACGACTCGCATTGTAGACCTAGCATAAGATTCGACTATGAATACCGGCCTTTACTCCAGTTCGTTTTTGCTTCACTTCTGATAATATATTTATTTCATTCTAACCTATTGCACTAGTTCAGAACAAGAAGTGCAGCGAAAACGGCCTACCGAGCCATGATAGCGCTAGCGAATGCGAGCTCCATGAACAGCAGTAGCGTGTACTAACGTAGCGTTTCGTAGGCCCTGCGCCGCCAAATTTAAAAAGCTGAGTTAATAGATGCTGTGTGTTGTATCAATTACTTCTTTAATATTTTTAGGGCAGAAGTTGAGAGTAGTATGTGTGTAAATGAATACGATTCATTTGTAGTAAAACAACTTAAACTATTTTACAAAATATAAAAAATTTTAAATTTATGAAACTCATGTTTGGAGCACTTCTGGATCCGACTCTTCAAAGTGTTAGAGGTGTTGCTGAATATCTCGCAGACAAGCAGCAATCTCCTAAGGAATTTTTAATATATATGATTCACAAAATGTTCCCCTGAATATTAGAAATGTTCCCCTGAATATTAAAAATGAGCAGGTTAGATTATTTTTATATTTTATTTATTAACATTAAGCGACGTTTTAGATTAGATCATATTTTAACAAATAGTTTTGTTCTAGTAAAACTTATTGTCCAATTGAATGACATTGTTTTTATATATAAAATGAGAAATATAATTAAATATATTTTTTAATAATATATCCATATTTGGTTCTATTTGATTATATGCTATATAAAATTAATTTATACTTTTAATACAATGAAAAAATTAGTGTATATGAATTTTGTCCACTAAACTATATATAGATATCTAACAACAAGCAATACCTAGTCTAGGTAATTTACAGTAGCTAGATTTACAAAATCTAGGCTTAATATTGTAATTAAGCGTAGTATATATTTAAGTCTTACATAGTTTATATTGCAACAGCTTCTATATTAATCACCAAATATAAGATTATTATTTTTATGATATATATAATAAAAGTTAGATTCTCACGTTTAGTTTTACTTTTTCATAATATGGCATCTAATAAAGAAGCAGATTATTTTAATAAGTCGTGTGAGCTTCTTGAAGTTAAAAAATTACGATTGGAGTTGGCTGCGAAACATACATACAAGTATTATTCCATCCTATTCTTGTCGAAGTTAAAAAGTATTTACATATGTCAGAATCTATTATCGAAGATCCTCTACAATGGTAGAATAAAATGAAGTTGTCACTGCCGAATTTGTACAAATTGGTATGCTGCATTTATGCCATACCGATTACAAGTTCAGCATCTGAACGCGCATTTTCTTCTACAGGTTTGCTTATCACAGCAAAACGTTCTTCGTTAAAATAATCAAAATCTAATAAAATATTATTTATTCTCGATAATTATTTCAAATTAATAAAAGATATTTAAAGTCAGTAAGTTTTACATTAAGTATAAGTTATATTATTCATATTATTTATACAACTTAATATGTGAAGAAATGTTTAATAAGTAAGACAGAAAGAAGTCTGATATCTGATGGTTATACAGTGAATTACATTTTATTTTTGTTACGTATGATGGTCAGGAATAACATTTTAAGATAAATTTTATTTTTTTTTGTGAAAGAAAAGATATTAGTAATGCTAATAAAGTGATCGTATTTTGAAAACAAATGCTGAGTATTTATTGTTTGCTATTTTTGTTCATATTATTTATGAAAAGTTAAAATTGTTAAAAAAATGTATTAACGGCGCCGTTCGCCGTCGCCGCTGATAAATTATCACCCGCCAATTCCGCCACCGCTGAAAGAGAAAATTATCGGCAAACTTTGCCGCCGCCAAGTTATTTTGCTTCAAACGCCGCCGGGCCGCAATTCACTACCATTCACTATTGCGCTGTTCATAGAGCCTGTAAACGCTAACGCTATTAATGCACTACCTCGGAAGGAAGAGCGTTGGTAGCGAGCAGTTATGACGTATAACACTACCAGTAATGACGTCACGACAGCGTTTAGTAGCGCTATCATAGAGCTCCGCGAACAGCCAGTAGCGCTAGGTAGCGCTAATAGCGTCTCCCCGAACGCACCCTATCATTGATTAACCGAAATGTACCGAAGTAAGCCGAAGTGTTTCGAGTTCACCCCGCTTACCCGAGGACCCGAGCCGAGAGAGGCTCGTTTTCGCTCCCCCTTCTCACCGCCACCTCTTCAATCCAGTGTCTCCCGGTTCTCCTCGTATTCTCGTAATCCGGTGTTCACCTCGCGCAAGTGCGATGCATCGGAACGAGACGTGATGCGAGTGATGCGACGCGCGTGCCCGTCACGTCCGCTCCCACACAGTCGTCCGTACTCGGTCGTCTGAATTAGTCTGAAATCTGACTCCCCGAAATATGTAAATACGCGGTCGCGTGCGCGCGCTCACGTATTGTCGGCGTTCGATTCTCGTTCGAGTTTCACGTGTCTTTCCGCCGCGTCGCGAATCGCGGGGCTGACAATAGTGACAATCCACTTAATCGCGACTCTACCTTAAGTGTCCGCGGCCGCCGCGTCGAGCCGATGTCGGAGGTGCGCAAGAGAACGACTGTCGGCGACGCGACGTCGTCGGCGGCAGCGTCGCGGGACGTTAGCGATGATCAGGTAAATTGACGAGATTCCTATCCTTCCATCGTTCTTTTTTTTCCGTGTCGCGAACAATCCGAAGGGAATTCTGGCGTCCACAGTGTCGATATTTACACGGCCGCCGTTCAACGGCTATCGATCTGCGCTGTTGGCACGACCGACGTACGGGCGGTTATTTGTTGACACGTATTTGACAGCTACTACTAACACATCGTGCGTGGTTTCCGATGCCGCGCTACGGCTACGGATACGGATAAGTCTGTACGTGTCACGGATATGTAAGGACTCAGACACAATGAGAAAAATAAGGAATAAGGGAATGTCGCATCTCACTTCAGTACACGTACATTAAAGTGAGATGCAACATGCCTTATTCCTTATTCCTTTATCTTATTCCTTATTTTTCTCATTGTGTCTGAACCCTAACGCATACACGAACGCATCCTCGGTATTCGCGCGTACGCACACACACGGGTGCGCAACTGCGCACGCGAAGCAAATAATGCATCTTTCCCGGTTGGGCGGGTGACGGGGGGGGGGGGGTGTTTTGGAGTAGATCAGCTGCCCGAGACAAGCGAGAGATATAACTAACGGCGCCGACAATTTCTCGTTGAAGAACGAAGTCGAGCTTTGGATCACACGAGGTTCGCATGACTGCGTCCCGAGGGGGTGACGGGAGAAATGAGAGAGAAAACCTTTAACCTTTAACGCGTCTACTTGCCACACTCGTTCTTTCGTCCTTCCTTCGTCCCCCCCCTAGGTCTCGCCGCTCGCGACGATTGTGACGTTTGCGCGACGATTTTTTAATTAGATAATGTATTCTTGCGTGTTTCTACGATGCATTTTAATTGCCGCGAATATTTAATTTCCACGTAACACGATACTAGAAATCCTTTGATTCCATTTTATTTCATTCCATTCTTCATTTCGATATTAGGGGTATTTACAATAAATGCATATTTGTATATGTGAAAATAATAGGTATAGATATTTACGTAATATGTCTGTGATTTTAACGAGGATATTTGGCGTTTACACGATAAAATATAATTTACATCTACGTATTTACAATGTAAATTGTGTTTAATGTGTCATCTATGTAAATAATGAATAATCCATATCTATAATTCATCGAACATTTTATATTCGAATTAGAAATACTGTAAATTTATGTTTTGGTTGTCATTGTATTTTTAGTGCTATTAGGTATTTAGTAAATTTAGTTTGAGCACAATTTTCAAAATGCTATGAAAAATTAATAAATGGTTTTAAAAATTCTAATTTTATAGCTGTGATAAAAAGAAATATTTCTACGTATTATGTGTGTTGCAATGGTGAACTAACAAGCAATACTGCCTTTTGTCGTTTAAAGGCTCATAGGTCACAGCATACATCATAATATTTCTATATTTAGTCTCATGTCTTATATTCAGAATTGTACCGTAAATTTCAAGATTACATCTACATGGATTATTTACATATTGTTCACGTTATGTTTGTCCGAACCTTTTTCATTAAACAATTTAATGTAAATTATTATAAATTAATAGATTGATTGACTAATTTGTATTAATTTTTCTTAACTGTATTTTTGCAAATAGTCCTTCAAAAATAAAAAGTAGTTTTAGACTAGATCATTCTATGCGTTTCGGTTATAATTTATTAACTGTACAATAACATATAAGAGTTACATATGATGCTATAAAAAGATAAAAATTATGTTATTAACGCTAATCTTTCTGTGAGTTTTTAAATGATGAAGCAGTATTGCTTAATTCACGGTTTCCAACACACATAATGGTGTTTTTTTTTAAGGTATAAAACCATTATTAATTTTTCATAGCATCCTAAAAGTTGTGCCCAAACTAAGTAATAGCACTGTAAATAAAATTGCAAACAAAATATTAACTTCCGATATTTTTGACGAAATACGAATTTCCGATAATTTAATTAGAGATTATTCATTGTTTACACAGATGAGTGACATGACACGTTAAGCATACTACACATTGTATACATGTAGATATATAGATTATTATATTTAGCGTGATGGCCTCCGCACAATGAAAAATATAAGGAACAAGATAAAAGGAAAAAATATAAGAAAAAATATAAGGAACAGATATTAGCGATTAGGACTAAAGAATCAAGAATAAAGTTAGATGCACGATGAAAAATACAGGCAACAGAAACAGGGAATAACACAGGCAATAACACAATAGATTTTTAACCTATCGGAAGCCGTGTATTAATGCTACATCAGCTTTATTCCTGATTTCTTATTTCTAATTACTAATATCTGTTCCTTGTTCCTTATATTTGTCATTGTGCAGGGGCTTAAAAATCCAATTTTTCTTATATATTATAATGTATTGTTAATAAATAACTAAAATGCATTTAATCTAATTTACTAAAACTTTTTATTCTTGTAGGATTGTTTGCAAAATTACAGTTCAAAGAAGTCAATTAATTAATTAATCAATCATTTAATTTATAATAATTTACATTATTTATAAGGAAAATTGTGTTAACATAACGTAAAAAATGCACGTAGAGTAATCTTGAAATTTATAGCAATCCTGGTTTTAAGTCTGATTTGCATACTCTGAATTATGCTATGCTCAGAATTATGAAATAAAATATTATGCAACACGTGCATGGAAAGTGCCCCATTACGCACGCTACGCATGCGTGATAGACCACTTTCCAGGCACTTGCAACATAAAATAGGGAGTGTAAGCCGTGTGTAAAGATGAAAATTCCCGGGTGCGGAGTTTACGCACGAGCCGAAGGCGAGTGCGGTAACCGCACCCGGGAATTTTCATCTTACCTCACTTGTTACACAAATAACTATTACTACCATCTATACTTTTTTACTTTTGAATATATGTATCTTTGACTATATAAAGATATATTTAATGATACATATTTAATGAGATGTGTGTATGTGTTAACACACGATTTAACGTTCAGTATAATTTAGGTCAATAACTTTTTTTTACTTCCTCTCAGAAAGAAGATGTTGAATCTGAAGACGATGCGAAATTGGAGGTGGAGGACTTGGCGAAAACTTTACCTCAAGGAACTGACCATACCCCGCACATTTTAAGTTCCATTCTTTCCGGTCTTCCAGATCGGTAAATATTATTCTTCATTTGAAGTGTGTAATTACTTTATTTTAATTCTGTATGAACTTCTAATGCTGTGATCTCTTGCAGTTGGCGAAATTGGATAATTAGAACTATTTTCACTTGGTTTATGATAGCCGGGTTTTGTCTCATTATTTATGGGGGTCCGTTGGCATTGATGATTACAGTAAGTTTGCTTTTAAATATTTATACAATTAAGTAATACAATGTATCTTTGTATTTGTGCGTGTGTAAAAGATTAATTTTTTATATCTTTTTTTATAGACGTTGATTGTGCAAGTAAAATGCTTCGAAGAGATTATTAATATTGGATACGCTGTATATAGAATCCATGGTCTACCATGGTTCAGATCTTTATCATGGTATTTTTTGATTACCTCGAATTACTTTTTCTATGGGGAAAATTTAATGGACTATTTTGCAGTGGTGATTAATCGAACGGTAAGTGTTACCTTTTCCAATCTGAGTCGTGAACTTTATAAAAAGAAAATATTGATCCTTGTGTGTGCAAAGTCGTATAATTCATACAAGTTATGTGCTTATATAAATTTTGCTACTTGTAATGTTTTCAGAAAGAAAAAAACCATTTGTAAAACGCATTATAGTGTTAGTTTAAATCAATAGCAAAGCCTTAACAAGCCTTATCTCAATACTTTTGTTATGGCTTCATCATTCTGTGAGGCTTTCTTATTAAAGTTATTTAATATAGAAATAATAGAGTGGAGAAAATAATATTAAGAATACTTGGTTAAATTATATAGTATACATGTTATGGTCAAAGCCCGAAACGCGGGCAGTTCTAAGATTGACTAATTAATTCTGCCGAACAACCAAGCGTCTTGGTCAAAGTCTGTAGTAACTTACTGATGTGTATGTATAGACAGTATACACAAATAGGCGGAAGAGGGGCTCCGCCTGCGGCGGAACCCTTGCATAAAAGAACTAATTCCAAACCTATTCCTAAAAACTGTTTTAACCAAAACGCTTGGTCGTTCCGCAGGATTGACCAGTCAATCCTAGGAATGCCGCGTTTCGGGCTTTGATCATAATATACATATCATATACGCACGCGACATATATGATGCAAATAATAATTTTATTTCTTATTGTCTTTAGGGATATCTACGTGTGCTTGTTACATACCATCGATTTGTCTCATTCTGTCTTTATATCGTTGGCTTTGTATGGTTTGTACTCTCCCTCGTGAAAAAATATTATATGAAGCAATTCTCCTTATTTGCTTGGACGCATGTCGCGTTACTTATTGTCGTGACACAGAGCTATCTCATTATCCAGAATATATTCGAAGGATTGATATGGTATGTATATTATCTATCAAAATTATACACTGTATAAAATATACTCATTTACTTATTTTATCAATTATGTCAATTTAGGTTCATCGTACCTGTCAGTATGATTGTCATAAACGATGTGATGGCATACATGTTTGGCTTCTTTTTTGGACGAACGCCATTAATAAAATTGTCCCCGAAAAAGACTTGGGAGGGCTTTATCGGTGGCGGTATTTCAACTGTCATACTTGGATTACTGGTAACGTGTTTTATGTAAATAATCAATGGAAGTAAGATTGATGATCGTGTACTAATGTAGTACTGTTGTTTAGATGTCCTACATTATGTGTCAGTACCGCTATTTCGTCTGTCCTATCGAGTACAGCGAAGCTCTGGGAAGAATGACTATGGATTGTGAACCGTCGAGCTTGTTCCAACCACAAGAATATACTTTGCCAAGTAGTTTTCAAGTGATATCAAGAATGGTAACGTATCTAATTTCTTTATTTGTATATAGAATGTTTTTAATCGTATACTGAATGAATGCTCAATTATTTTTTAATATGTGCAGTTAAATGGAAAATCTACCTTGACGGTGTATCCATTTATGCTACATTCGTTGTCGTTGTCAATATTCAGCTCTGTAATTGGTCCATTTGGAGGATTCTTTGCTAGCGGATTCAAACGAGCGTTCAAGATTAAGGTAATTTAGTATTATGTCATTTGAATTATAAATTTGTACATTATATTTTATTTCACACAATTATTATTTTCTTTTTATGACTTTGCAGGACTTCGGTGATGTAATCCCCGGCCATGGTGGAATAATGGATAGATTTGATTGTCAGTATTTAATGGCAACATTCGTGAATGTCTATATTTCTTCATTTATTCATACTGCATCACCTCAAAAGCTATTACAGCAGGTAAAATAATAGAGAAAATTGTAATTGTATAATTATTTATAGTATAAGAACGAATTTTGACGATGTTAATTTTTTCTTTGCATTATAAATTAATATGACAAGAAATAAGTAAACATAATTTTTTATATCTTCCGATTTAGGTTTACAGCCTGAAGCCAGAACAACAGTTGCAACTTTTCCAAACGCTAAGAGATTCGTTGGAAAATAGGGGTATGCTAAACTAATATTTTAAATAAAATTAATATTTTTTAAGTTGAAATATGTATTTAATAGCAAAACTGCTGCAGGGATTATTTTTACCTATTAGAAGATGTTAGAAAAGATTTCCCGTCTCTTCTAATATTTCAGCAGATGTTATACACAGATGACAATGCAATTAGTATCAAATAATTATAATAATTTGTTAAACTGTGACGAGATGAAGTTTATTTTGTAATTTGTAGACTTGTAAGGGTCATATCATAACGTGATGGGACTATCTAATTGAAAATAATGTAGCCAGAGATGAAAATATTTCTTCCTAATCTCATTTTTCATTTCAGTTTTATTTTTTTTTTTTTTTTTTTTTTTTTTTTTTTTTTTTTTTTTTTTTTTTATAAAAGGTGATAAATTAAAAAAAAGTCTTCTTTAATATATATTCTCTATGAATTTCTTATTATTAAGAACTAATTTATTTTTATATACCGGAACTATGATATACAAGTTACTGAAGTAAAAATTTATAATATGTACGGTTGGGAATAGAAAGGTTGTCCGGTTGAGTTTCGGAACGCATCCTATTTATATTTACAAGCAAGCTACGTGCATTAGTGCTTATTCACTTCCAAATAGGACAACCTTTTTGTCCCAACTGTACCACTGTGATTAATCTGGTTTAAAAGTAATCAGTTGGATGGATCTATCATAGTTTTAACTATTTTGCATTCCACATTAGATAATCGAATTTCTGTCGAATGCGATAGTTTATATTAAACTACGGCATTGTTGGAAATATGAGATATTTTTGTCTAAAAAGATGAACCAAAGAAAGTCTCATTATGAAGATCCTGTGTTATACATAGCAGCATTTATGCAAAATTTTTTTCATTTTCTGAAATGCCTGCTTATCGTTTTTGATTGAATATTACAAGATACAGACCAAGAGAACCAAATGCTAATTTTATGTAATTTATTCTATTTAAACGAGATATCTTTACTTATAATAAGCAGATCTCAGTAGTTTCTATTTGTAATCGCATTGTTATAATTGCATTTAAAATTCCGCATGAAACGAATCTCGTTTGTACATATACATTATATGTTTGTTCTTTTATGTAGAATTGATGTAAAAATCTTAACGATTCTATGAATAATCTTTGTTTCGATGAAAGGCATCCTTTTTGTTAAAATTATAATGTTGATTGCTATGTATAAGTAAAAATACCCTAACGTAATTGTATGTTACGTGTACGTACTGTCGTTAATGTTGGGTAAACGGTTCTACTTAGGAGTTTAGCATTATGCTTTCTTCTTTTTTATATCATATTCATTTAGTAAAATGTGGCTCTAAGAGCTAAAAAGATTATCTCTAGAGTCATTATTTCCATGTTGCATTTTAATAAAGTTATTTGTATTGTATACGATTATTATTGTTTTTACTATCATCGAAATATACGCGAGTACCTAAAAACTTTGAATGGAAGGTGTTGGATAATGACGCAGTCCGTTTTTTGAAAAATTTTCAACAATCATATATTTGAACATTATTTTCAATTACACATAAAAATTCAAATTCGGCTTTCAAACCGAAGTCTCGGAAAATCTGAAAAATTCTGAAAATTTCGCATACCTAGGAAATCTTAGAAGTATTTGGATATCTGAAATGTTTAAAATTCTTAAAAATATAATTATTATCTGTATAAAATAAAAGAGTAGATAAAAATAATAATACGAAGTGTTATAAAAGAAAAATATATATTTTCAAGATTTCGTGACTTTCGAAAATCTTTCGGTTTTGTACGGCATCCGAAATGATTCTTTGTCATGTCATGAAATGATTCATTGTCACGAACGATCCTATGTGTCCCGAATCCGTCAATAACGTACGTCGGATATCGCATTTAAGTACAGATCTCAAAACTTTCCTGCCGTAAATATATATATATATATAAGCACCCGTATATTTCGTATAAAACAATACAAAACGTCTTGCCAGTTAACAAAAACTTGCTACCTTTATATGAAATTGCTTGATATATGTGAGCCGTGTGGAATGCATAAATTATTTAGCCAGTGTTACCGTGATTGTAGTACTTACGTTATATCCATAATGCTAAACTTCGAAACGTTATTGTGACCTCTATATATATATAGTATATCCCAGCAAACACAGAATATGACTGCTACGTAATACAGAAACGTAATGGATATTATATATTTTCAATGTTGAGCACTTACTTGTCTAGTTTTATAACTGCGATATAAGTCTGTTTTAAAACTGTTATATTGCTGTTATTTATTGGTTACAACAGCAACATAACTTAAATATATTATGTTATGTAACAACTATACTTATTTGTATTACTGTTCTGTACAATTTGTTATATGCAAATGTCGGATCATCGCCGTTAGATGACAGCCTTTCTCATACATAAAATATGATGAACAGTGGTATAAAAACGATATATAAATCACGGTACAGCAAAACTTGTATCAGTTGTATTGTGCACACTTTGGGATTGACAGTATATAATTACTGTCATCAATAGCAATTTTTTCCATTGAAATATAATTTATAGTAATATAGGAATAAAGAGTAATAATTAATCAATAACCATACATTTTTTTTTGTAACATAACATTTTTGTTACATAGCTGCAAGTTCGTATAAGTGGGAAATTATAACTAACATCTACATTTCGTATAACTTATACGTTATATTACGTGTTTACATTTCGGTATATTAGGACTATGTAACTGTTATATATCGGTGTTTGTTGGGTATATATATATGTATATATATAAAATATATAACACAACATAGTGAGAAAGATTATACATAAAAATAATTCAATAAAACAATTCTTCGCCAGTGATGAAATAATAAACCAAAAATATTAATCGGCCTGATTGGCATCGACCTCTACTTTGTTTGTTTGTGTGTGTTTTTTTTTTTTTTTTTTTTTTTTTTCCAAGTTAATTTGACAATGGTGGAACAACATAAATTGTCGAAAATACACAAATGCAATTAATAAAGTAAAACAAAGTACAGATATTAAACTTACAGATCATTGTGCGTCAAAGTTATAAAAAATTTGTTTAACTTGAAAAGGACCCAAAGTAGAGGTCGAAACGTCGTTAATATTAATAAATTACTGTCAGTCAGACCGATTAATATTTTTGGTTCATTATAAAAATAAGTATTCAGGCAAAATCAATCTCTATTTATTAATCGCATTTTTCACTAGCTGGAAAAATAGAATGAGAAAATTGATAAATGGAAATGGATCTGTCTACCACGTTTGTATTAGTGTAGTGAACAATTCTGTGGTGTATTATACAATTGATAAAAAATATGGTCCTATTTATCTAATTTGCCTTACCGTGCAATATTGTGGAAACATCTAGACAAACACTAATTGAGAAACAATCTTAGGAATGAAATCTTTTCGACAGATATTAGTTAGAAATTACTTTATTGTGCTCCCAATTAGTTCCGATACTGTCCTACAATTGTGCCAATCGTGCTTGATAAATATGGATTTCTTACGTAAATTATATGCGCTGAATTGATATGGCACAATCAAAACTAGCTTTGCGTAATTAGATCAATATAAATTATGTACGATACAATATTATGCGGTACATACTGCTAAAGTATGCTCAGATCTGATTATTGTTATTGTTTTGAAATGTTGAATGAATTGCGCTTAATTCAACAGACATACAATCATTTCTATCGATTCATGCAATCAATTCATTTCTATTACTTCACACTTCGATTTTAATTTCAGTGTCGCCGTTGCCGTATAACGATAAATGTTGCGGCATCAATTCTTCGTTCAATATTTCAAGGGTATTTCCATTAATAAGGTTTGAGCAAATCTCAAAAAGAGAATCCGAGAGAAAATTTGTCACATGTAATTATACAATTATATATAAAATATGTCCATATATGTTTTCTTTCTCTTGTATAATCTCTGTTCGTAAATACAAGAAAAATAATAAGAATTAAAAAAATTATTTTTACATTAATTTTTTTTTCTTTTTTTCTTTTTTACAAGAAAGTTAAGTTTGAAGACATGGGAAAAAATTGCCTACATATAATATAATTATATATATTTATCTTCTTATTATTTGTTATATAAATGTAATAATCATATATAAAATATTATATACAGATTATTATATAATCTAATTGCAATTTTATATATTGTAAAAAAAACCGATGCAAAAGTTTTTTTAAATTGATTTTTTAATTATTCTTATATATACGAACAGAGATTGTACAAGAAAAAGAAAAAATTTACATAAACATATTTTATACAATACATAATTTATATATGAACTTTTTTCCTGGGAATATACATGTCTAATTAAAAACATTGAGTTTGTAGGTGCCATACCTTTTTATTTCTAAACGTTTTCTATAGCGAAAAACTTACGAGGCATTAGAGAGATATAATGATAAATGGATCAAACATATATTATACATATATACATGTATATTTATTTAATAGAAAATATAAGAGAAAAAGTATATATAAATGTATAGATGGAAGTTACTCGAAGAAATGTGTCACAAATTATATACAATTTTAAAATCGAGATAACTTGAGTTTTAATATATGATGATATATTTATGTAGCGACAATAAAAAAAATAAAATCCTGAAAGATTAACGCTGTTATAATAAAACACAATCGTTTTATTATACATTTCACCGTTCCGCTATTACACAAACAATTATTTTATTTCGTTGCCATCTATATTACTTTTTATTATGTTACAATCGAATTCCTCTATCTAAGATTATTAACCCTAGAACGCATGAGAGGGGTCGATTTCGACCCCAGGCGAACTTTGAAAAACGCTCCTGAGCTAGCGAGTGACATTATTGTCGAGTCTTTAAATGGATTTTTCACTAACTAAACTTGAGTAAAATTAAATTTACCGCATACCATTCTCTTCGTTATTAAAAAACGAAGAAATTCATGTAGGTTTAAAGGCCCTTTATTTCTGTAGGACCGGTTTTACGATCAAATAAAGCGTGGGGTCGATATTGCCCCCAGTCATGCGTTAGAAGGTCAAAAAAATGATACATGCGTTCTAGGGTTAAG